ATGCATGTGAATGGTTAAGTGCTTATGACTGACAAAAGGCATAGTAAGTAGAAGACTGGACAAGTTGTCTTCAAGTTGTCATCCTTGAAGATGCTAGTCTTTGGCTACCTGGGAATAAAAGACAACCCCCCATCCTGAAGAATAATCATGTAGTGTGCTCGCTCCCTCGCTTTGCCCACGAGAAGAAAACACTTTTTTAGAGAGAGGCTCATGAGGTTTTTTTTTAAGTGTGATATTCTGTGATGCTGATGACAGTTTCTACTTTAAATTCACAAAGGCATTTCAAAATCAGACTGGGCCAACAAGCATTTTACTAAAAACTGTCCTGAGGATTTAGTGTTCAGATGAAACACTAGGCTCTCCCAGTATTCATAGAAAACAACGTGAGGTTTGTTTATTTTTTAAATGTACTTTTTTTTTTTTTTTTTTAAGGAAAAAATCGAAGTGCAATTGCTTTTAGGAATATAAAGGTGTGCACTTCTGTATTAGTTACCAAGGCTACATAGTAATTAGTTCTCTATTGCCATCTACAGGCAAAGTGTCATATAACAAGTCTCTCATTTTAGGACTGAGCTTTTCAGGATCACAATTATATGCACGCTGATTAGTATGGATTTGTTCAATTAGATCAGAATGCTCTATTTGCATGAGCAAAATGCACAAGAATTTTAAAGCATTAGGAAAATTATCAGTTAAAATAATAAACAGCATTAAATGAGGAAAAATAAATTGGAACTGACATCTTAGTCATCGGTTCTTCATCAAGCTGAGCAAATCTAATAAGGCCTCCCTCTCCTTCCTCAGCTCTCAAAAAGTCCACCGTTAAAATGTCATCTCTAATTCCATTTTATGTCTATAAATTGCATTTTAATAACCTTTTGTTTCCCTTTCTCTGTTCTTCTTCTTCTTCTTCTTTTTTTTTTTTTTAATCCCCCAACTACTGGGAAAGGTAGCAGAGGGACAATAGGGTCTTTCTGAGAGGCAGAATGCTGCAGTTCCAAGGGTGGCAATGGGTTTCCACCTAATCACATTGTGAGACCCTATGTCAGACACCTTTCCTCTTCTCAGAAAGACCCTGTGAGCCTCAAGCTGATAATTGCTCTCCTAGTCAACTGGAGGCCTTCGTGCAACCCTAATATAAAGAGATCATTTGTCCTTTCTTTGCTCTTAATAACGCAGGGGATGGGAAGCAGAGAAGGAAAAAAAATGACAATGTGAACAAAAAATACTACTGTTCAGAACCGTAAGTACATGATAAACTATGTCACATCATAAATCACACCTGTGAATAGAGTCTGTTTGTTATGACAGTATGCTTTTTTCTTTTGTCACTCTAAGAAAGAAAGTGTCATAAATTCCTTTATAAGCATCAGCGATTTCCAGCAGGTAGTTAGATTTCTAACTAAGGAAAGGGATGTGCCAGTGAAAGACTACAGACTTAATTGTTGATTTCAAAAACAAACATAACAAAAAACTGCCGTTACATTCTAAATAGTATTTTTTCCATCTTAAAGGGTATATATAATTTCTGAAAATATCACCTACAATAGAGGCCGTTTAAAATAGAAGACATTATTTTATAATCTCTGGGGAGAGTGTATATACCCAGGAAAAAAATGAAATTTATGTGAAATCAGGCTCTTTCTAAGTCTATCAAAAGTAGTTATCACTTTATGGGTTATATTAATTTTAGAACATTTTATTATATGAATGAGTGATTATATTGAATTATTAATTTGTCAAATGGTCTTTACAGACTATGTTATTTATAGAAGGATATTTCTTCTACTTTCCAGTTATATTATACCTTGCTGTAGATTATTGTTTCTGGGCAGTAATATTTTCGTTTGATTGGAAGTATTATTTAATGCCAGAGGTTTTTGTTTTCACTTTCTGTGATAGTACCTTGATTCTCAGTCTTTGCATTTTAAGAATGGAAAAATTGTGGTGGAATATGAATGGACTTGATACTAAAAAGATGGCTCCACTGGCCAGGTTCTAATACCTAGCTCTGCCCTCAGACTGGTGACCTCCCTGTACCATGATTCTTGTGGAAGGTGGGGACATTTACTAGGGAAAAACCATTCTGGAGAAGGTGCACAAATGCACATATTAGAGCAGGCTAGTTTCTCTTGAAATCATTTCTAAAATTTACATTTATATTCTTTTTCATGCTTGAAATATTAATGACCATAGTTAGCATGTGAATTGTGCTATAGAGCTGACAGGGCACTTTATAAGATGTACTTCTCCAAGAAACAGCCAATTATTTGAATCTGAATTAAATTGATAGTTATTTAAAATTATAAAAAAAACTTTGTAGTGAAGAAAGAAGATTAAATAACATGCAACTGATGTGTAACAGCATTATACAGTCTACTTTATAATATATACGAATATTACCAGTCTGTGCAGTTTCTGCAGAAAACATGTTAGTGATAAACTGAGAAATTTGTATTCAATATAGTCTAGTTGTAATAATTTAGAAAGCAAAACAAGAAACCAGTGGACCTTTGATCTTCAAATACTAACTAGAGTGTTCTGAGATTCATTTAGATGAAGTTTTAATAAACTCAGATGGATTAGGCTTGGAATTTATCCAGGCTTGATTAAAATAGGATTTCCCCTCAAATCTGTGTTGTCTGTCAATTGGAAAATTGCCCTGACATTCCTGCCCTTAGTCACATTAAAAGACTCCCAGAATACTGTGAACAAACCATTTTTAAGCAACCAAGTCAAGCTTAACCAAAGACCAGTTAAAATAAAGGACAAGGAAAAAAGAAAACAAAAACAAAATGACAGAGGTGGAAAAGGCACCCTCTCTAGCAGCTGTAAGCTCTTAGCAGGAGCAGAAAAGCAGTCCTTTTCATGGACAAGCGTGCTGGCAGTCCATTCCAAAAGAAAACTGTGGATTCAGACATTTTGGAATAGACTTATATCTTGAATGAATAATGAAAACAGAGTATAGAATGTCTGGTTTAGTTGAGAATCAACATGAGAATGTGACTTTCAAAAATTACTGACCCAATGTCAGTCCAGAACAAGGAACACTGACCACCCATGGAAGATGTGGAGGACAATTTACTTCTTGGAGTTTTCTTAGAAAGAATAAAGAGAGAGGGCAAGAAGAACAACTTGAAACGTTAAAACCTCAGCCACACCGAGGACCATCTGGAAGAGTATGCATTCTTTTAGCACCATCAGTTTACTCATGGGCCAGTTACTCACATGCATGCCACCACTACTGACAGAGTCCAATTGAGAAACAAGACGTGTGAACAGTACGACAGCATGTATGCATGCATTTGTATCATTGGCAAATTCTGGAAGCCCATGGTAACTAGTAACCCAGATCTGGGATTGGTTGTATACAATAGGTCACTCAGTTATCTTTAGCTTTTTTCTAAAGCTCTACCACAACCAAAAAAATAAAAAAGAGAAAGAAAGTGAAAACACCAATAGAACTAGTTAAACATTCAGTGCTGCTCATGAGCATCAGGTACAGCATAAAAGAATAAATACTTTCTCAAAATTCCACACTGTAGTGTCGATTCTTTGTTCAGAAAAGAAAACAGCTCAAGTGGTTTAGTTGAGAATCAACATGAGAATGTGACTTTCAAAAATTACTGACCCAATGTCAGTCCAGAACAAGGAACACTGACCACCCATGGAAGATGTGGAGGACAATTTACTTCTTGGAGTTTTCTTAGAAAGAATAAAGAGAGAGGGCAAGAAGAACAACTTGAAACGTTAAAACCTCAGCCACACCGAGGACCATCTGGAAGAGTATGCATTCTTTTAGCACCATCAGTTTACTCATGGGCCAGTTACTCACATGCATGCCACCACTACTGACAGAGTCCAATTGAGAAACAAGACGTGTGAACAGTACGACAGCATGTATGCATGCATTTGTATCATTGGCAAATTCTGGAAGCCCATGGTAACTAGTAACCCAGATCTGGGATTGGTTGTATACAATAGGTCACTCAGTTATCTTCAGCTTTTTTCTAAAGCTCTACCACAACCAAAAAAAATAAAAAAGAGAAAGAAAGTGAAAACACCAATAGAACTAGTTAAACATTCAGTGCTGCTCATGAGCATCAGGTACAGCATAAAAGAATAAATACTTTCTCAAAATTCCACACTGTAGTGTCGATTCTTTGTTCAGAAAAGAAAAACAGCTCAAGTGATTTTCACATTGAATATGCTGTTAAAATTTACATATTCTGAAAAAAGAGGAAATTATTAAAAACTCAAGTAATCGGGGACTTGGATATATTTACTCTAGAATATGACACCAGGAAGTATGAGGTTTCATTATTTCTTGGCCCAATTTAATCTTTGCCTAGAGCTGCTTTCGGATTGCATGTAGTGTAAGTCTGCATGTACAGAACAGGGGGAAAAAAAAGAATCCTTGTACAACAGCATCAGTAAAATGGTGAATGTTAAAAAATTTTCAACTTTAAGAACAGAAATACCTAAGGAGTAAAAACATTGTGAATTCATTGGGTGTTCACAGCAGTTCAATTCACTGGAAATCTTACTGTGAGAGCTTTCTGCTATGCTTTTTTGTTTAGGTCTAGCATAAAGATCTATAGTGTCCCGACTCTCTCTGCAAGATTGTCTCTCTCAGTTTCCCTTCTCCTCTAGCTCCTGGCAAAAGGACACTATGAACTCTTTCCTTTAGAGCCAAAAAGTTTGCATTGGCCCAGTGTCCACTGTCGGGGAGGTTTTCTGCTTAAAAAAAAAAAAATCATGAAATTAATATATACTGCAAGACGCCCTGGAGGTGTTGGATAATGATGTGGTGTCCAGGGAAATGATCTGCAGAAACACATAATATATATAAGCCTCAGACCTCCTCTAGTGCATTAAATGGTCGAGCTGTCTAAAGAAATGACCCATTCTGTTGTCTCTGGGTGGAATCTCCTGAGTAATGCCTGTCTCTTGGGCGGGTTGCTTTCAAAAAGTTATAGGTGGATATTTCAGATGCTTACTGCTATGACAGAAACTCCAGCTGCTGTACTATTCGGCTTGGGGCCTGTGTTGAAATGCTTCTTTATCTTTCCAGCTACTGACAGCTGATGTTCATTTTCTGGGAGGCCATCATCCTGAAGGGAAAAAAAAAGAGAGAAAAAGAAAAAAAAAATGAGATAAATGAAAAACGAAGCCAATGTCTACTAATCATAGGCAGTGATCTTAGAAGTCATAGATGTCAGAACTAAGCCAACCAAAGTTTTCTCATTAAACACGGTTGTTGAAAGGACCGCACCAATATCTTCGTCATGTCCACATCTCTCAAATTAATCTTTAAGTCACCTGAGTCTCCGAGCTTTGTCTCTAAATTCTTTTTTAAAAATCTGTTTTGGTTTCTAATTCAACCATGGCCCTAGGAATCTAGACAACTTAAAAAAAAAAGGGGGGGGGGACATCTCTTTTGTTTGTTTATTTGTTTTCCTCTTAGTTCATCATTTAGTCCAAAAGCCAAAGAGACTGGTAGACCTTGGTTCATGCATGGCCTGCCAATAAACTCAGGCTTGTTTCACAGCTTCTCAATTGGCTGATCTATATCCCAGACAACCTTCCAGGTAGAAAATTCTTCCTTAAGTTTTAAATTCTCCTTCTGCCTTCGAATCATACCACCTTCCTGTGACGTGTATCTTCACTAAGGCTTCATTAGGGCTTCTGCTTCCTGGTGAGCCATCTATGACTGAGGCTGGACAGACTGCTTTCCTCTACTAAAATCTGTTCAGAAACAGTAAGCCGGGTTTCAAGTATGGGCACCACTTACTAGTTCATGATGAAAAGGCTGGCTGATCCTTGAAGACAGCAATTGTGTTTTGTTCACCATAGAATCCTTAAATCTTAGCATAGTATTTGGCACTAGTAGATGCTTAATAAATAATTGAATGAGTAATAAAGTGTTACTATTTGTTAAAACCACACTCTTGGCAAGATCTTCGATAGCATTCATCATTTTTTCTTCTTTCCTCCCTCTCCATCATTTTGCACATAATTTCTTGACTCTACCCAGGAAAATAAATTTGTTGCTTCTTGAGTATAATAGACTTGTTCTATTTGCCTACTGGTCTCTTCATATGGGATTACCACTTCTTCAGCATTTGACCATTCATTTATGCACTTGATATGAACTGCGTATCTACAGTGGATCAGGCATTTCAAGAGGGATGAGGAAATAATGGGAAGCAATGGGTCTTGTTCTTCTGAACTCTGTTGTCCCTCGTTCTTATTTAAAACTGGGTCCAAGTGACCTGTTGTAAGACATTTTCCCCAATTATGTATAAGCCATTGTAATGGCGCTTCTGTAAACCACTAATGCTTTTTCACTATATTGATTTGCACTATTGTTAAATGATTTTTTGTATACATACACATACATGTACATATGTATAAACTCTTGTTTTGTTGTCCCTTGTCTTGAATTTTTTCTATAATTTTTTGAAAAGTCTATCTTTTTATTTCTTCCACTCATGACTGAGAGAGAAAGAGAGATGGACAAAGACAGAATATATATATAGTGTTGTATTTTACTGCTGTGTTACAGCCTAAACCCTTCTCTAATTTTTAAGAGTAGCAATGGTTCAGCATCATGCACAAATGGATATGCAATATATGATATTCTTGGACTTACTACTTAATGGCTAGAAGAAGGAATAGATGTAAAACCATTTCCTCCTTTTCTGGAGGAAAAGGTTTTCCAACAATGCAGAATGCACTAAATACATTTATGTACTGTGGAAAAGTAAATGAGGTGAAGATCAATGAGAGGAAGGGAACAGAAAAAAGGACATGTGAAGCGTCTACTCTGCTGAGGGTTTTAGAGAAGACAAAGGGTGAGAAGAAGAAGTGATCTTTGCCTATCAGAACTCTGCAGAGTGATTGGGTGAACACACACACCGCATAAACTACGAAACAGATCACTGACATAGAGAGCTATCACCAGACAGAGTAGCTTCATGGTTCAGCTAGAAACCAAATGACTTTAGAGGAGAAAGAATGTATTTCCATTGAGAACAGTCAGAGCAGACTTCATGAGGAATATAGGATTTGACTTGGCCCTTAATGATGGCGGGGGCAGTACGCTGATAGGCCGAGAGGAGGGGAGGTGGTATTTGGTGTACCGTGTGTGCGAGGGGGAAGCCACAAGGTAGGTCAGTCAAACTATTACTACTTAAGAGTTTATGTAGAAGAGTAATGGCAGAGAAAACCAGAAATGTAAGAAAAGAGTGGCTATAAGTGATTACAAAAAGATTCTAGGGCCCATGGGGACCACCAGATCGCGTAATGGTTACATTACTGGACTCCCATATAGTCGACTGTGGTTTGCGTACTGAACCTGGCACCTTGAAACTTTCCCCAGGAGTGCATGCAGGAACAAAATTCCAAGAGGAAAGTGGAGGAGAAAGGATTGCAGTGGGGCTATTCCCCTGAGGGATGACTTCTTGCCTTCTGTCACTCTATCTCTCTGTCTCTCTGGTAAGTGCACATACCCTATAGCAAAAATCTCTCAAAATAAGTAAATAAATTAAAAAAGATTCTGGGGCCCAGCCTTATGGTGCAGTCAGTAGCACACTGAACTAAATTGTTGGAAGCCACATTCTGACTACAGATTCAGATCTCTGGGTCTGTCTGAAAAACACGCTGGACATGCACATGTGCCTAAAATCCTGACGAGTCAAAGGGCCGAGGAAAGGGACCATGGTGTGATGAGACACTGTTGAGGATGCCTTGCTCTTTCTCTCTCTCATACATGCACACACACTCTCTATCATGAATAAAAAATATTTAAAAAGATTCACGGATTGAAGCCTTAGTCTAAATTAAGAAAAAAACAATGCTTTTTAATAAGAGATCGTGAGTATAAGAAACGTGAAAGACTCTCCTCCTTTTACTCAGTTATTTTTATAGTGCACTCTCTAGTTCCTGACTCTATAAGTGAAAGAGAAGTTGGGTCACAATCAGAACAGATTAGAATTAGGTGGTCCAGGGTTTTAAACAGAAGGACTAATTCAATGATGTATATAAAACACTATTTTTCAATAGTGATGAACCAACAGCAGGTCCCTGGAATTTAACTCAGAAAACAGCTCTTGACTGTCAGAGTTTTTTTGAGTGTAAACATTTGACAAGGGATGACATAATGCTGAAAGTCTTACAAATATTCATATCAGGCCTCTGACATAATTTAGGGTTCTGCTTCAATGAAAGGGAACACCCTGATACTATGGCACCCATTGGACTTCACTTCCAAGGTTATATATGTATTTCTAACTTTTGAGTTTTTTTTAGAGAGAGATTTTTGCTTTAGGGCATGTGTGCTCAGTGGAGAGACAGAGATATAGAAAGCAAAAAATCACCCCCCCAAAAGGGATTCCACGTCATAATCCCTTCTTCTCCAATCTCCTCTCAGGACTTTGGCCACACAAGCACTTGTGCTGGTGTGAATTTTAAGCTGCCAGGTTCAGGACTCAAACCACGGTAGGCCATATAGGAGTCCAGTGTCATAAGTATTATGCCATTTGCTGGTCATTTTTATTTAAAAAAAAAAAAAGATATATGTCTCTTTTTTCCTGCCTCAGCCTTTTAGCTGGGATTACAGGCCACCACACTCAGCTCTTTTCTAGACAGGTTCTCACTATATTGCCTAGGCCAGCTTTGAGTTTGCAGTCTCCCTGTCTTATCCTCCCCAAGTTGCTGGGTTATAGGCACTCACCACCATGCCCAGCCTTTAGGTTGGACCAGAAATCAAACCTGGGCCTCCCATGTGATCCCAGGCTGTGGAAAACCATGTCTTAACAACACATACCACCACAGTTGGGCCCTTCTAACCACCTCTAATAGAGTTTGAGAAGCCAGGAACACTGGAGCATGCCTATAATCCTGGCTATTCAAGACGCTGAGGTAGGAGGATAGTGAGTTTGAGGCTGGCCTACATAAGCTAGTGAGGTTCTATCTCTAAAAACAAACAAAAGAGTTCTAAGCTGCCTTAGACGAAGTGACTTATATGAACTCTCAATTATAAAACAGTTTGAAAATATGGTTGGGAAACAGGTCAAGAGAGGGTCTTTCTTGGAGAGGTTTTTGCTATAGGGTGCATGTGCTTGCCAGAAGGACAGAGAGACAGAAAGCGAGAAATCACCCCCAACCCCCTAGGGGTGATTATGCCAACTGCTGGTCCCATGAGGGTTTTTCTTTTAAGAAAAGAGAAACTTGATCATATTTGTGGTGTTGGCATAAGAAAATAGTAGAAAGGATGAGCTGGAATACATAAGAAGGGCAAGAGGAGGGATGGACCGTGGAATGAAGCAATTTGCCTCAGGGAAATATAGCTTTACCTCTTTATCTGAGGCCAGATGTACAAGTAGAGAATGGGTAAGTCTTGTTTTGAAGTATAGGGGAGGCAAGTTAAAAGAGAAAGACAACAGGCTCAGGAATGGTGGCACAGTTGTGGCTCAATGCTCTGTAATGCTGGAAGCCATATGGAGGATCAGAGTGTGGTCCCTGGTTGACTTGTACATACTGGGCGAGCATAAGAATGCCTGTGAACCTACTTGCTGGGAAAGGCTGCAGGCAGGGGAACCTGTTGAGGGTATTTCATGAAACAAATCAACTTGTTTTTTTTAAAAATTATTTCTAAAGAGAAAGGCAGGGAGAAGAAGTGATCTTGTGCCTATGATTTACATATATTATCTTCATCCTCAGATTACCCAGATTATTAGCTCTATTTTGAAGAGGAACAAACTGAAGTTCAGCAAGGTGAAATCATTTGCTCAGGGTCAAATAGAAAGTGGGTAAGTCAGGACTGAACTAGGTCTGAAACTTTGTGTTTACTCTACCACATTACGCTGCATGTCGGTCAAGGAGGGCGTTCTCTAGCACAACATTGGCTACAAAATGGCTGCATAGAGTTAAGTGAAAATCCTCCAGGAATCATCTTTTCCATGATGCAAGTAACACAATAGTGAGAAGAAATGAGAAGTGAATTAAAACAGAATATTTGAATGGGACTTAGCAGAGCCTGGGAAGCATCTGATGGTTACAAAAGAGATGCTGAAGGGCCAAACAGAATGTAGTTAGAAACTTCCATGTG